GTAACAGAGGCATCCACAGAATCAACAAGATGCCGATGGAGGGAGAAATCGTCAGGAGGCGCAGAATCAAGAGGGAGGAGATCAAAGTATTTGGCCCACCAAGCGGAACCAAACAAGGCTTGATAGGCATCAGAACGGGAAGGAATCGAGTGAGTGCGGCCATGTCGATGACGGCGTTGAGAACCCCCCAGAGAGAGAGGGGTTAAAAGGCGCATTTGTTACAACTAGAGATGGAGCTGTGCCAGGGGATGAGGTAGTCACCACTGGGGGCTCGGGGCTCGACCCAACCACAGAGGAGGGAAGGGAGCCGAGGGGAGTAGTCAGAGAGGCCAAAGGAGGAGCAAGGTCGGGGCCCAATGCAGCGGAGGCTACAGAGCCCGGTCATCCAACACGGACCGACTCTGGGGCTTGGTCGCCCACCCCACGAGCCTGAGAAGGTAAAGGAGGAACAGAACACAACATAGGTACGAACCATAAACATTCATTCACGAATGTGCCCCCACACCCACCATGGAGCCACAATTAGAGGAAGGACACCCAACAAGAAGTTATCGCCGATCATGCCGGGGCCTCCTAGGGGTGCGTCGTGAGTATACGCCCCACAAACACCACCTTAAGAACCGTCAGTCCGTCGAGATCGGGTTCAGTGACGAAAGGGGGAATGACAATAAAAGGTTCCCCCTCGCTCTCGACGTCGGGTACTACAGTTCTACGGGTGCAAGAGTATGCCTCCTCAAGCACCCGGGCATCAAAATAGAAGAAGTCCAAAGGAATAACCAAAACACGCAAAAGGTCGGCAGGAAACGACAAGCAGATAGGAGAAGAGGGGGGAGAAATTCAGAGTTCTTCATCGATGAAGAACTCTGTAGGGTAAGGCAGGTCCTAGTCAACACCGGCTTCTACAATGGTTTCGTTGAAGACATCATAAGGAGGAAGGTGAAACGCCATGCAACCTCTGAAGAGACAACTAACACAACACCTGTACCCCCTATTAGACTATTTTACAGGAACTTCTTTTCCACAGCTCATAAAACGGAGGAAAGGGTCCTGAAAAATATTGTTAATAGAAACGTTATCCCTACAGACAAAAATCAGAAGATACAATTGACGATCTATAAAACCAAGAAAACGGCCAACCAATTCAAATAAACTCTCCAGACACAAAGCAGAATGCTTCAAAAGACACCAATGGCATCTATGCCTTCAAATGCCCACTTGGGGACTGTAAGCTCCAAAAAACCCAGTATATAGGCAAGACAACATCTCCTCTTTCTAGGCGTTTAACGATGCATAAGCAACAGGGCTCCATTAAGGAACATATAACATTCCTCCCTCCCTTCACTACCTCTCCCCCTCCCTTCACTACCTTCCTCCCTCCCTCCCTTCACTACCTCTCCCCCTCCCTTCACTACCTCTCCCTCCCTAACTACCTTCCTCCCTCCCTTCACTACCTCTCCCCCTCCCTAACTACCTTCCTCCCTCCCTCCCTTCACTACCTCTCCCCCTCCCTAACTACCTTCCTCCCTCCCTCCCTTCACTACCTCTCCCCCTCCCTAACTACCTTCCTCCCTCCCTTCACTACCTCTCTCCCTCCCTAACTACCTTCCTCCCTCCCTTCACTACCTCTCCCCCTCCCTAACTACCTTCCTCCCTCCCTTCACTACCTCTCCCCCTCCCTAACTACCTTCCTCCCTCCCTTCACTACCTCTCCCCCCTCCCTTCACTACCTCTCCCCCTCCCTACCTACCTTCCTCCCTCTCCCCCTCCCTAACTACCTTCCTTCCTCCCTCCCTTCACTACCTCTCCCCCTCCCTAACTACCTTCCTCCCTCCCTTCACTACCTCTCCCCCTCCCTTACTACCTCTCCCCCTCCCTAACTACCTTCCTCCCTCCCTTCACTACCTCTCCCCCTCCCTAACTACCTTCCTCCCTCCCTCCCTTCACTACCTCTCCCCCTCCCTAACTACCTTCCTCCCTCCCTCCCTCCCTCCCTTCACTACCTCTCTCCCTCCCTAACTACCTTCCTCCCTCCCTTCACTACCTCTCCCCCTCCCTAACTACCTTCCTCCCTCCCTTCACTACCTCTCCTCCTCCCTAACTACCTTCCTCCCTCCCTCCCTTCACTACCTCTCCCCCTCCCTTCACTACCTCTCCCCCTCCCTAACTACCTTCCTCCCTCCCTCCTCTCCTCCTCCCTAACTACCTTCCTCCCTCCCTCCCTTCACTACCTCTCCCCCTCCCTAACTACCTTCCTCCCTCCCTCCCTTCACTACCTCTCCCCCTCTCTAACTACCTTCCTCCCTCCCTTCACTACCTCTCCCCCTCCCTTCACTACCTCTCCTCCTCCCTAACTACCTTCCTCCCTCCCTCCTCTCCTCCTCCCTAACTACCTTCCTCCCTCCCTCCCTTCACTACCTCTCTCCCTCCCTAACTACCTTTCTCCCTCCCCCCCTTCACTACCTCTCCCCCTCCCTAACTACCTTCCTCCCTCCCTTCACTACCTCTCCTCCTCCCTAACTACCTTCCTCCCTCCCTCCCTTCACTACCTCTCCCCCTCCCTAACTACCTTCCTCCCTCCCTTCACTACCTCTCCCCCTCCCTAACTACCTTCCTCCCTCCCTCCCTTCACTACCTCTCCCCCTCCCTAACTACCTTCCTCCCTCCCTCCCTTCACTACCTCTCCCCCTCCCTAACTACCTTCCTCCCTCCCTCCCTTCACTACCTCTCCCCCTCCCTAACTACCTCTCCCCCTCCCTAACTACCTTCCTCCCTCCCTTCACTACCTCTCTCCCTCCCTAACTACCTTCCTCCCTCCCTTCACTACCTCTCTCCCTCCCTAACTACCTTCCTCCCTCCCTCCCTTCACTACCTCTCTCCCTCCCTAACTACCTTCCTCCCTCCCTCCCTTCACTACCTCTCCCCCTCCCTAACTACCTTCCTCCCTCCCTTCACTACCTCTCTCCCTCCCTAACTACCTTCCTCCCTCCCTTCACTACCTCTCCCCCTCCCTAACTACCTTCCTCCCTCCCTTCACTACCTCTCCCCCTCCCTTCACTACCTCTCCCCCTCCCTAACTACCTTCCTCCCTCCCTCCCTTCACTACCTCTCCCCCTCCCTTACTACCTTCCTCCCTCCCTTCACTACCTCTCCCCCTCCCTAACTACCTTCCTCCCTCCCTTCACTACCTCTCCCCCCTCCCTTCACTACCTCTCCCCCTCCCTTCACTACCTCTCCCCCTCCCTAACTACCTTCCTCCCTCCCTCCCTTCACTACCTCTCCCCCTCCCTAACTACCTTCCTCCCTCCCTCCCTTCACTACCTCTCTCCCTCCCTAACTACCTTCCTCCCTCCCTCCCTTCACTACCTCTCCCCCTCCCTAACTACCTTCCTCCCTCCCTCCCTTCACTACCTCTCCCCCTCCCTAACTACCTTCCTCCCTCCCTCCCTTCACTACCTCTCCCCCTCCCTAACTACCTTCCTCCCTCCCTTCACTACCTCTCCCCCCTCCCTAACTACCTTCCTCCCTCCCTCCCTTCACTACCTCTCCCCCTCCCTAACTACCTTCCTCCCTCCCTCCCTTCACTACCTCTCTCCCTCCCTAACTACCTTCCTCCCTCCCTTCACTACCTCTCTCCCTCCCTAACTACCTTCCTCCCTCCCTTCACTACCTCTCCTCCTCCCTTCACTACCTTCCTCCCTCCCTCCCTTCACTACCTCTCCCCCTCCCTAACTACCTTCCTCCCTCCCTCCCTTCACTACCTCTCCCCCTCCCTAACTACCTTCCTCCCTCCCTTCACTACCTCTCCCCCTCCCTTACTACCTTCCTCCCTCCCTCCCTCCCTTCACACCTCTCCCCCTCCTCTCTCTCACTACCTCCCTCCCTCCCTCTCTCACTACCTCCCTCCCTCCCTCTCTCACTACCTCCCTCCCTCCCTCTCTCACTACCTCCCTCCCTCCCTCCCTCCCTCCCTCCTTCCCCCTCTCACTACCTCCGTCCCTCCCTCTCTCAATACCTCCCTCCCTCCCTCTCTCACTACCTCCCTCCCTCCCTCCCTCTCTCACTACCTCCCTCCCTCCCTCCCTCTCTCACTACCTCCCTCCCTCCCTCCCTCTCTCACTACCTCCCTCCCTCCCTCCCTCTCTCACTACCTCCCTCCCTCCCTCCCTCCCTCTCTCACTACCTCCCTCCCTCTCTCACTACCTCCCTCCCTCCCTCCCTCTCTCACTACCTCCCTCCCTCCCTCCCTCTCTCACTACCTCCCTCCCTCCCTCCCTCTCTCACTACCTCCCTCCCTCCCTCCCTCCCTCTCTCACTACCTCCCTCCCTCTCTCACTACCTCCCTCCCTCTCTCTCACTACCTCCCTCCCTCTCTCACTACCTCCCTCCCTCTCTCACTACCTCCCTCCCTCTCTCACTACCTCCCTCCCTCCTCCTCCTCTCCCCTGCCTGCCTGCCTGCCTGCCAGCCAGACAACCCAGCCCACCCACCCTCCGCCCTCCTTCCCTTCCTGGCAACCAGCCTGCCTCCCTCCCTCACTCCTTCCCTCATTCCCTGCCTCTCTCGCTCCTTAACCAGTTTTCCGAGAAATTTTAATAATTTCACAAGTGAAATTATCTAAACAATTGTGATGGGCTGCGAGAGTTATGAGAAGTGGTGTACAACAAATGTTAGGGCGAGGCTTTCAATTGTTTATCTCTCATTGAAAAAGATTCACATTTTATGTTCCGCAGACAAGTGAACTCAAGGTTTTAGATACATTATTTTAGGATTTAAATGTTGACTTACACCAGCATATATGGTATTCCCTACTTCAAAAATTAAAAAATTCCTCATACTATTTAACCACTCTACAAATCACTGAAGTCCTATGATGGAAAGTTTGGTTGATTACAGTACATCACTAAGTCCAATGATGTACCATATACATACTGTTCGTTCACCTTAAAAGGTCACCTACCAACCATCTTAGCAGAGCAAACATACAGTGAATAAGGACCAACCTTATCATATGGAAGAATGTTGTTCATTATAATTTTTTCCTTGACACTGGGATCCATATTCTGACAAAATTCATCGACTTTCCTAGCTGCTGCTGCACGCACCTGTAAACACGCAAGACAACTTTAACATGGGCAAAGAACATATCACAATTACACAGTTGGAAACACAAAATTAAATGAACGTAACATTTCAGTCCATCCTAGGACCTAATCGAGTCGTGACATGATTATGGCCGGGAAGGGACTGAAATGTCCCAAAATGAAATGAAATGTAGGTGGTGTCAGTGGTTGGCACTGGAGGAAGGTGGTGTCACAAATATAATATTGAAATATACACTAAATTGTTGTAAATTTGAAATACATGAAGAAATTAAACTGTTTTATTATTAATCATCGCAGTGCGCAGAGTGCCTTGAGGTGCTAGGTCGGGGGTGCGTAGAACGCCTCGTTGCACTAGTAGGTATAGCGTAGCATTTAACACTTCCTTGTGGCTACACGGGGTTCACATCAGCTTCCTCAGGGCTCTAGTAAACAGAGGCCATTTTTTTTAAATCGTGGACAACATTACCAGGTGTGAGAGCCTCAGTACTGAGTGAGCAACCAAGACTAGCGCACACAACATGAGCTAACAGCACTGCTGTTCAGCTTGTGACCACAACATAGCCTAAAAATGTAAAAATATATATGTAACTGGTATTATTTAGCCATGATAGTATTACAGAATGGCCTGACTGTGATAAAGACTGTGTACAATGTTCAGATATCAGTGAACACAATGTTGTTTAAGATGTTCTAGCCACAGCACACTGTCATTGTTTGGTCCATCTAAGAATCTTGAAATGACTTCTCGTGTTCCTTTACAAAATAAACTTGTAGAAAATTGTTCATTTACAGGATTTAGTGACCAGGATTTTGATAATAGCAGCATTGTGGTGATAATTAGTGATTTTCATAATATGGTGGGAGGAGGAATCTTGGTGATGAGGGAGGGAGGTAGCATTAGCTGCTTGGTGTGTGGCAGCCATTCTTGTTGTTTTGACTCCTACTGGTCCCCCTCCCTCCCTCCCCCCACGTAGCTAGCTTAGTAGATTGCCAGCCAGAGATAGGCTGCAGAATTGCCATCTAATACAATAAAGCATTCATGAAACAAGTATTTTTATAACTTATTATCCTAATAATATTACTAAAAATCTCTAACCAAAAATATATATGATAATGTACATCCAGAATTTAAGAAACAAATATGGCAAACAGGGTCGAGTGTGATAGGCTTACTTGATTGAGCCCGTCCCTTCCCCACCACCACCGACAGACCTCCCCCCCCCACCCTACATCCTATACACGCACTCTGCTTCAAGGTCATGTAGTTCAACTGTCCATAATTCATAAGTAAAAATGTATTTGTTTAATTACTAAACAGGAAGCAATAAAACATGTTAATGATTATTAATGCATCGTAATACTGTAAACTTCAACATGAAAATCAAATATAATGGCATAAATATTATGCAGCTAAGATATAAATTTTAATATGGGAAGGAGGCTTTGGTCGCCTGGTACTTTGTTGGCAAATAAACACACTCACTTCATAACACATACATACATACATACATACATACATACATACATACATACATACATACATACATACACACACATACATACATAGCGAGACATGATAGCTTAGTGAGACAGCGCTCTCAACTCGTAATCTTAGGGTCCGGGTTAGATTCTGGCTGATGGCAGAAACAAACTGGGCAGAGTTTCTTTCACCTTGATGCCCCTGTTACTTAGCAGTAAATACATACCTGGGAGTTTGACAGCTGTTATGGGTTGCTTCCTCTGTAATTACCAAAGTGTAGTTACAGAATGAGAGCTACGCTCGTGGTGTCCTGTCTTCCCAACACTCTGTCATGTAACACTTTAAAACTACTGACGGTCTTTGCCTCCACCACCACCTCACCTAACTTGATCCAACCGTCTACCATTCTGTTTGCGACAGTGAATTTTCTTATATTTCTTCGGCATCTGTGTTTAGCTAGTTTAAATCTATGACCTCTTGTTCTTGAAGTTCCAGGTCTCAGGAAATCTTCCCTATCGATTTTTCAATTCCTGTTACTATTTTGTACGTAGTGATCATATCACCTCTTTTTCTTCTGTCTTCTAGTTTTTGCATATTTAATGCCTCTAACCTCGTAGTTAGGCGTAGGGGGGGACCTCGTAGCCTGGTGGATAGCGCGCAGGACTCTTAATTCTGTGGCGCGGGTTCGATTCCCGCACGAGGCAGAAACAAATGGGCAAAAGTTTCTTTCAACCTGAACGCCCCTGTTACCTAGCAGTAAATAGGTACCTGGGAGTTAGTCAGCTGTCACAGGCTGCTTCCTACGGGTGGAGGCCTGGTCGAGGAACGGGCCGCGGGGACACTAAAAAAAAAAAGCCCCGAAATCATCTCAAGATAACCTCTCCTCGTAGCTCTTGCCCTTCAGTTCTGGGAGCCACTTAGTAGCATGTCTTTACACCTTTTCCAGTTTGTTGATGTGCTTCTTAAGATATGTGACATGATGGAGGGTGCTGAAGTGTACCGAAAACAGTGAAGTGGACCAAGATGATGATTTTCCACCTTATCAATGTAACAATGCTGAAAAGTTACAACACGTATCTTGTGAAAACAGGTAGAAAACCATATTTCCGTTAGTTTAGTTTTCAAGTTGTGAAACAATTACTATATTGTAATCACCCCTGGCATACAAAAACCCATTCGGGACCCAATATTGGACCTTGCTCCTGCACTCTGGCTCGCTTACAGGGAGGCCTTTCTGGTACACCAAATCAAGAAATTACCACCAACTGGAGTGCGTGCAGCAGGCCAGCGTCTGTGCGTTGTGTGTTACAGCACAAAAATGAGGCTACAGAAACATAAATTGGTGTTAACATGGTGCGAAGCGTGTGCAGTCCCTCTGTGCCATGGCGACTGTTTCGCACAGTATCACAGTCTTCAGGACTACTAAATGTCTAATACTTGTGTAAAAACGTGTACATATCAAGTGAATTTTAGTGTATATATTGAAAAAAAAAACAAATATGTTGTATAAGTCCTGTAAAATATAACATTTTTGCGTGCATACTTGTGACAATAATATGTGAACGCATAGTGAATATATACCAGTTGTATTATAATACAACATCAAGTGACAGTAATTGGAACAATACTGTACTAGCGATTTTTTTTTTTGTAAAATGTGTCATAGATATTGTAAATAATGGCGCAGAAATAAATTCGCAGCAACTCGGGCCTCTTGAGCTGCCGCATGCGATGGCTCCCTGACACAGCACCTGAGAGCACTCTTTCTCAGTGACGTCATCGGCGAACTTGTCGGCTCAATTACGTTATTGGTAAGTACAATAGAATTTTTTTATTATTTTTTCTGTGCTCAGGGAAGACAAATGAACATTTTAAAAGGACGAAAAAAATTTAGAATTTGTTTTTTTCTTGTGCACAAGGTTGTAAAAGTCCTCAGGACTCCTTAGTATCTTAAGGAGTTAAGGGTTAATGGAAATAAAAAAATTGAAAAAACCAGCGTTGAATGTAATGAAACGCCATTTTCTGGGTGAGTCCCGGAGGCTCCCCGGAGCTATCCCAGGCTGATATGCTAATGTCAGACTTTGGCATCAGTCATGTGTATGGAGTTCTTAGGCCTACCAGGGACCACGGCCAGAACCGGGCCCCCTCAGAGAGGCAAGGGGAGCAATGGCCTATAGAAGCCCCCATGGGGTTGGAAGCATTCTATGTCTGCCATCGACCGGAACAGGCACCCAGAAAGGTAAGCGCCTCAAAACAAACCCCTATTCTGGTTAAAATTGCTACCAAAAGCCGAACTAGTGGATAGAACTCCCTAAAAGAAAACAAGCAAACTAGTGTGACGTCACACGCTCGCCGCTGTCTACGCAGCTCCCCCCTCCCTGGGAGGGGGAAGGGGGAGCCCCAGACCCTCCACGCCGGCTACCCACACCTCAGTTCTTGAGGCTGGATGTCAAAAATGCGAAAAAAATGCCGACCGGAGGGAGGGAGGGATGCCTGGGAGCCTCCAGGACTCGCCCAGAAAATGGCGTTTCATTACATTCAACGCTTGTTTTCTGGGGGGAGCCCCGTCGGCTCGCCGGAGCTAACTACCTACAGACGGAAAAAGAGGGACTTACCCGGGAGGCGGTCGTCGCTCACTCCTCAACTCGCAGCAGAGACAACTGGCTGCAACCGCCGACCCAAAGCAACACAGGCCCGACGAGGCCCAGGGACATTCACAAGGTAACGAGCAGCCAGGACCCTGTTCGACCGTCAAAATCCCCGCGCCCGAATATCAGACCAAGACATATTCCCAAAGACGGCAGCAAGAGCCACGAACTTACGAACGTTATGGGCACAGGGATAGACCGCAGGCTGGCTGGACTTAATAACCCTGCGGGCGACCTGGGAGACCCGAACCTGCGAACAGGGAAGAAGGGAAACCGGATCAACCCACAGCGCGTCCCCAGACACAGAAGCCGTGGCGTGCAAATAACGGCGAAGCGCCACAACCTGACACAAAACATGATGCACCCCCGGCCTGACCAACCAAGCATCAACCACCCATGGACCCTTCCGGAACGCAGCAGTCTCATTCTTCGCCAGAGAAGAAGGAGACGGCTGCAAACGAACAAAACAATCACCACGACCAAAAGAGCAGAAACCCCTGTGCCGGGGGAGAGCATGAAGCTCCCCTACCCGACCCCCAGAGGCCAAAGCCAACAAGAAAAGTGCCTTGGAAAAACAATCCTGGACCGAAGGGGCCACAACGAAACGAGTAGACGAAAGGAAAGCGAGCACTCTATCCAAAGACCAGGACGGCTCAGGCGGCGCATGAGCAGGCCGGAGGTGAAACAATGCATGAGACAGCTTGCAAAACGGCGCAGACGTAACATTGATACCGAAGGCAAGCTGAAGCGGCTCCGCCAGCGCCGCACGATACGAGGCGACAGTGTTAGGCATAAGATGACGGTCCTGAAACAACCATGAGAGGAGGGACAAGACCACCCAAACAGACAAGGAACTAACACGACGAAGACGCAAAAAGAAACAGAAGGACCGCCAGGAAACTTCATACTGCCGCCGAGAAGAAGCCCTCAGGTGGGACACCAACAAGGAGGCCACCTGATCACCATAGAGATGATGATAGACTCTAGTAAAAAAAAACCCCATATGCGAAGACTCAAGGAGAAGATTGAACCAGCCACGTGACGTACCGGCCCGATCTGCTGAAAGAGGCAGAGCCGCGGGAAAACCCTCGGGTTCGGACACCGAGCAACCAGCGCCTGGAACCAAGGTTGGGCCGGCCACCAAGGGGCCAGAAGGACAACTCTCCCCTGGTAAGTCTCTAAGCGAGTCAGGACCTGGAGCAACAGCCAAACTGGGGGAAAGAGGTACAGGAACCCCCACCTCGACCAGTCTAGCCGAAAGGTGTCGACCCCAACGGCCTCGCGATCGGGGAAGGGCGCCGCATAAACGGGAAGACGCCGCGACCACGCCAATGCGAAGAGGTCCACCTCGGGGCGCCCGAACGTCTGGCAAAGCCAATGGAAGGACTTGTCGTCGACCGTCCACTCCGTGGAGAGGGGAACGAAGCGAGACAGGGCGTCAGCAAGACGTTGGACACGCCCCGTACGTGAACCGCCAGGAGAGCCAAATCCCGAGAACTCAGCAGACGAGTCACCCGAAGCGACCAACCCCAAAGAGACAAGGACCGCATCGAACCCCCGCGGTTCAGGCAATTAACCACCGAAGAGCAGTCCGAATGGAGCCGAATTGTCGATCCGCGGGCCACCCGAATCCTCCCCAGGGCAAACCACACTGCCGCGAACTCCCGCACCGTGCTGTGAGCTCGACGGAAGGGCGGATCCCAACGCCCCTGGCCGGCCTGGTGAGCACTGGTTACAAAACCCCAGCCGAGAGACGACGCATCCGTGTACACATCGAGCGAGGGCTCCGGTAGGCGCCAAGGCACTGAACCCCGAAAAACCCGAAGAGGAAGCCGGTGACGCAGCAACCGACGCAAGGCCCCCGGGGGTCGAACTATGCGATCACGAGAGGCGGAAGGGGGAAACCCCGAAGGAACCAGAACGGCCGATGAACCTAAACCTGACCCGGCGGGTAGACCACCATCACGAAGTTCAGGCTCCCGCACAGCCCTTCGAGCAACCACCGGGTGACCCGAGGGCCCACCAGAAACAGACGAAGGCGGGACCGCAGGCGCAGGAGAGACTCCGGAGGGAGAGACAAGGTGGTGGTTCGAGAGTCCCAAACGAGACCCAGCCAAGTCCGAACCTGAGAGGGAACCAGATGGGACTTCCTCCAGTTCACCAAGAACCCGAACCTGGCGAGCTGGGAAAGAACCAAATCCCTGGCAAGCAAGCAAGCTGACCGGCTGGGAGCCCAAACCAGCCAGTCGTTGAGGTAGGCCAACACCCGAACACCTAGGAAATGCAAACGAGCCACCACAACCTGTGTAAGGCACGTGAACACGCGAGGTGCCAGGTTCAACCCAAATGGGAGACAACGAAAGCAGTAACTCAGATGCCCCACAACAAAACCGAGCCAGTCCCTGAACCGTGGATGAATCGGGATATGCCAATAAGCGTCCCGGAGGTCCAGGGACACCATCCAAGCGCCCGGCTCCAAGAGGAGCCAAACCTGAGACAGCGTAGTCATCCGAAAGGAGGGGCAAAAAACCCAGGGGGATTCAGACGGGACAAGTCCAGAATAAACCGCAGGTCCGCGCAGTCCTGTTTCGGAACCAGAAACAGACGGGAAACCCATCTGAGGGGCGACGTCGTTTCGACGACGCCCAAGTGTACCCACTCCAAGATGACTCGACAGAGCGCAGGGGAAGAAACCTGCCCTGCCAGCCCCGACCGCCCCCAAGGGGGGAGGGGCCACCCAACGCCACCGCAGGCCGCGAGACACGACCCGAAAGGCCCACGAATTGTGGGACCAGGCGCGGGTGAACAGTGCAAGCCGCCCCCCCATCGCCCTGTCAATGGGGCAAACCGCGAAAGGACCGGCGACCCTGACGAGACCCAGAACCCCGCACAGAGCAAACACCGCGCCGACCAGACGAGGGAGGGTCCGCAGGAGGAGCTGAACCCGAACCCGACACCAGAGGCCTACCACGATGAGAGGAACCCCGAGCCCTGGCACGACCCTTTCGGGAAGACCCACCCCGGGACCCCCGGAAAACCAACAAGTCCGACATCGGACGACAAGCCGCTGACGCAGCCTGAATAAACTGCGCCACGGCCGACTCCATAAACAGAAGAGGACAAAAAGGTGAAGAACACCTAAGAGCCAGAGCCCAAGCAGATTCCACGGAGGAACCCAGCACCGTCTGCCGACACGCGAGACGGGAAGCATAAAACAGGGAAACCACATCCCTCAAAATCAGCGTGAACAGCTTCAACAAGGCAGCCGACGAACGCGCAGCCAAGGACAAGGTGCCGGACCCCGGGACGGACCCAAGCGTCCTCACATCCTCCACAAGCCAATCCGAGGACAGCTCCAGAAGGGAAAAGAACCGCAAGGCCGAAGCCAAAAGGCCCCGGGCGCGCAAGTCCTCCGCAACGAGCGCCACCGAAAGGGAGGGAACCTGCACATGGAGCTGAATAACGCCCACATCGCGGGGAAGGGCAGGGGCAAACAGGTACTCATTCAGGTATTCAAGCTCGCCCCCCAGGAAAACCTGAAGCACCGTGGAAGCTTCCCGCCACTCCAGCGTGCGGGAACGACAGAAGGAATGCCAGGAATCCAGAACAAACAAGGGACAGTCTGCTAGCCAGGACGACTGCGGAACCTCGTAACGGAGCCAGAAAGGGAACGAAGTCCCAAACCTGAACTCGGACGGATCCATTTCCGAGGCATAATCCGGGTCACGCAGGAGGTAAGATGCAAAGGCCGCTCGCACCACACCAGGTTGGATGCGATAAGCCGAAAATCTCCGGAAGGACGGAACCGACGTACCCTGAGGAACACGGAACCGAACCCGGGGAGGGGCTGACACCAAATCCAACTCGTACGCAGAGGGGGGAAAAGAAAACCCCACTCCTTGTAACAATAAACCCCGCTCAGAGGCAAGAAAACCCAGGCGGGGTCCAGCGGGGCCCAAGGCCCCCCAAGTCAGCCCCTCCCCAGCCTCGAGGCCGAGTCCTCTCCCCAAGCTCCGACCCCACAAGACAAGGACGGAGCAGCCGGAAAAGTTGGAGGAAGGGGGGTCCACTGGTCAGACCCAGAAGCTTCGACCAGGAGACAAGACTCGAATGCCTCTGCCGCCCCCCGGAAGGGGCACCCCCCGAAGCTGCCCGAGTCTCGAGATCAAGTAACCCCTGCTCCGACCCTGAAACCCTCAGACGCTTCGGAGCCAGAAGCAGGGGGAGGGGGGGGGGGACCAGAACGAACAGTAGGGGAAGGACGAGGAGGTGCGGACTGAACCAGGATCAAAGCGACCCCCACCCCCAAGTCCGGGTCTCGAAAAGCAAAGCGGGGCAGCCCCGGGGCATCTGGGCGAGCAACCAACCGAGCGCGTTGCAACAGATGAAACCTAGACTGCAACGCACGCGCCGCCTGTACCCAAAGAGATTCATCAGAGGATTGGGTAAATTGAATCACAAGCAAGCAGCAACACTCACAGGACTCAGGGTCGAAAGTATCACCGACCCAACAGGCAGCATGGCAGGGGCAAAAACAATGAGGGTCACCCTGAGACAAGGGGACCGAGCAACCCTCAAACTCGCACACAGCGAGTGGGGACTCCGGGGGTCACATCCATCGAACCCACTCGCCCCCTAGGGGATTCCCAGGGTCCCGAGCGTTTACTTTAAGAGGACTCACGCTCAGGTAGTCCCAGGCAGGGTGCTGCAAACCGGCGCCCAAAACTACCAAGCAAACTTCTATAGCTGTACCCCAGGGACGTGTACACTCACGGGGACCTAGCAGGGGGCGCCACCGAGGAGAACAGTGGAAGAGCAAAAACAAACGGAATAAAATGACAGAACCCCCCACCAGGCAAAAACAAAAAGAAAAACAAAACCCCGCAAGAGGACAGCGAACCCCAAGGAACAAAGCCGGCCGCTATGTCGGGAATACAAGCTGTGCGGCACACCCTGCGCCCCTACCAGTGCAAACTGCCTCTTACCTGCCGGTAACAAGGGAGAACAGAACACCCAAGAGCCCAACAGGCGGTCGAAAAACCGAAAGGTAAAACGGACCAGCAGAGGCAGACCCCGAGGAGCCTGTGGAAGGTGGCCCCAAGGGCAGTACTTACAGGGCACCTAGGGAAGGCAGCCCTAGGCGCATGCAGCCCGAGTACTGAAGATAACTCCTGGCTCTCGCACCCACAAAACAAACACCACACGCAAAGCACAGTGCAGTAGCGACACCGGAGCCAGAGCACACGACCTTCGCCTATAGCATCAGCCTCAAGAACTTAGGTGTGGGTAGCCGGCGTGGAGAGTCTGGGGCTCCCCCTTCCCCCTCCCGGGGAGGGGGGAGCTGCCCAGACAGCGGAGCAGCGGCGTGTGACGTCACACTAGTTTGCTTGTTTTCTTTTGGGGAGTTCTATCCACTAGTTCGGCTTTTGGTAGCAATTTTAACCAGAATAGGGGTTTGTTTTGAGGCACTTACCTTTCTGGGTGCCTGTTCCGGTCGATGGCAGACATAAAATGCTTCCAACCACATGGGGACTTCTATAGGCCATTGCTCCCCTTGCCTCTCTGAGGGGGCCCAGTTCTGGCCGTGGTCCCCGGTAGGACTAAGAACTCCATACACATGACTGATGCCAAAGTCTGACATTAGCATATCAGCCTGGGATAGCTCCGGGGAGCCGACGGGGCTCCCCCCAGAAAATTATATTATTGTTGAAAAATTCCTAAAAGCAATGAATTGGAGAAAATTATTAATAAAAGGAATACTCATAATTTGGAACAATTATCAACTTCCTTACCTCTTCTTTAACATCGTTTAGTAAACTCTGCAAAATAGGAACAAGATTGGTCTTGGTGATTTCTGGTCCCACAGCCTTCTGGAGATCTATGAAGTGATCTACTACCATGTACCGCACCCTCCAAGACTTATCTTCAGAGGCCTGGCATAGTATAGGCATCACACGTATTTTCTCATCCTTTTGCTGGAGTAGGCCAGCCAAACTGATGCATGCCTCCACTGCCAACAACCGTACCGATTCCTGCCAGAGTTGCAGGGTGCTCATTAGGGTGTGTGTGAATGACTCACGCTCTGGTGAGGAATACAAGGTCACCGATACATTGTCGTGAAATGAGTGTGCCTAGCTACATTATATACCCATCACTAAATGAACATGGATATTTTCACATGAAAATAATTTCAAACCCTTCTTGAGCTTAACACAAACAAAAACACTAAATTGTTATCAACATATGCATGGCTTGCAATGCCACGACACCTCCATAGGACAGTTGTCTATCTTGAGGTAAACAGGGAAAGAATTAAACAATCATGGATCAAGAATGAAAAATCAATTACTGGTTGAGCTAGTTAACTTGATTACTAGTATAATTAAATTATCATGAGTATCTTGTCATTCAGTGGGTTCATAATACACATTAATTTGTTGTATTTTTATCTCTTAACATATTGTAAGAAGCCGTTTGGATAAATGGCACAAGATAATACTGTATATCTGTTTTCAAAACAATGGCGTGTGTAAGAATAGTCCCGAATTCAGGTGTCTACAATGGACTGAAATATTGTCCCTTTCAATTCATTTTACGAGTTATTTGTTTTAATCACATTACTCTGACAGTCTTTGTATACATTAATTAATTCCCCGACCAAATCCTTTCCATATTGAGCTCACCTGCCCATCCTGTGCCAATACTTGAAACATGGGAATGAGATACTCCAGGTACTCCACTTCAACCACTTTGGCAAACTCTCCCAGCTTCTCCGCTGCCACCATTCGTACTCTTGGGTTATCGTCCTGGCACAGCGAGCGGAAGTAGGAACGTAGCTCAGCTAAGAGGAGTTGTGTAAGAAAGATGTAATATTTTCAACAATAACATTACAGATAGTAAGAATAAAAAGCAAATTATATTACAGAAAATCTATTGGCCCATGCAGGTTAGGTCCTATTTATACCCAACCACACTTGTTCATATATCTGTCTAGCCCTCATTTAAAACAATCCAGCAATTCAATGCCATTATAGTACCCAGAAATTTACTTTAGCAGTCTACAAATATATTCCTAAACCAGTACAGCGGTACCTCGAATAACGATCGCCTCAAATGGCGAACATTTTGGGTAATGACCGGCGACAATTCGTCTCGTGTGGCGAATGCTCGTTTGAGTAACGTCAACACCACATGGTGGGGTCGCGCTGCTTCCAGCACATTCCCGACCGCCACTGACGACAGTGTTGTATTGGTGTCGCACACAACCAGTATCCCTCTGCATAGCTCCACATATAATTGTGATATTCGTAGGTATTTTGTGGTTTTGTGACTACAATTCTGAATGCACGATGTCGTCCAAGAAACAGCCTGCGAAAGAAAGTGTTGGCAAGGGGGAAGAAAGAAGCAATCACTCTGGAAGTGAAGAAGGAAATTATAACAAAGCACGAGCATGTTGTATGTGTGGCTGATCTTGCCAGGGAGTATGGCAGGGCTCCCTCAACAATTTCAACCATTTTGAAGGGGGAAGGATAAATTTAAGACGCTTGACATGGCCAAAGGAGTTACCAAGTATACCAGCAAACGTCCAAAACTCCTAGATGATGTGGAACGGCTACTGCTGGTGAGGATGAATAAACGTCAATTACATGGCGATAGTGTCTGAAGCTATCGTTTGCGCTAAGGCTAGGATGCTGTATGTGGACCTTATCAGGAAGATACCAGGTGCGTGATTTGAAGATGAGGAGGTATTTAAGGCAAGCTGTGGCTGGTTCGAGAACTTTTAATTAGAGGAGCGGTATACACAATGTTGTGCGACATGGGGAGGCTGCCAGCTCTGATAAAGCTGCTGAAGAGGCTTTTGTGCCACAGTTCCAGGAATTTGTTGATCGGGAGCAGTTCCTGTCCCAACAAGTTTTCAACTGTGACAAAACTGGGCTGTTTTGGAAAAAAAACTGACGAAGAGGACCTACATCATGCAAGAGGAACAATCGTTGCTTGGCCACAAACCGATGAAGGATCACCTTACCCTCGTGCTCTGCACCAATGCAAGTGGCGATTGCAAGGCCAAACCGCTGCTCGACTACCACTCTGAAAACCCACGCGTGTTCAAGGCATTTAACACTTTAGTGCGCGCGGCACTTGCTGAAAATAAAGCGGGTTGTGCGCGCGGCGTTCTGGGCGCTCAAGCGTAAACACAAAAAAGTGTATAATCTTTTCACGCTCCTAACATCAATTCTCGAGCTACGTTTTTCATTTTGGTATCAATGCGTTGGCAATAAAATTCTCTACAAGATCATATGCATAAAATGTCACCAAAGCATTTGCTATCCCACCACGAAGTAAATAAACACGAAGATGACTCACCGTGACACCCAAACAGGAAGTAAATGTTCATACTCTTTCGTTTGTTGCCAGCCTCACAGTCATCCTACAGCGCTTATTTTTATATCACTGAACTCGCAATAAAATTCCCCACCCAGACATATGCCTATCAATGTCTAATTATGTTCCGCACGAGTGTGGGAACTGGGCGAAGCATTAGCCGTGATTTCAGCAGCGACGACACTGTTGTGATGCAGCGCTTTGAAAGTTTATACTTATTTCACTGTCCTGACAATATTTCTTGAGCTACGTATTTCATTTTTATAGCAATGTGTTTGCAATAGAAAGTTCTGTAAGAACATGGGCAGAATTGGCCAACAGAGCGTCAAATAAATTTGCGGCGAATAAAATCTTACGCGTGTTTGTACCCGTGAGCGTAAAAAGTTTTTACTTTGCTCATGTTTTTTCAAGTTTATACTTGATTCACACCGTTTTATTTGTTTGTATAGTGTTCGGAATAAAATTCTCTACACAGACATATGCATATAAATGTAGAATCATGATCGCAGCCAACACAAGAGTGTGAAGTGGGCGATTACCCTCGTTGTGTCACCAACTCAATAGTCTCTCCTCTAAGTTACAATACATTGCCGTTTTCTCAAATAGGCACTGTGCCTATTAGAGAAAATAAAAATTTATTGGCAAACATTCATACAAACCCCAAGTCGATCGAGTAGTAAATACCCAATATAAAACACGGTCCGTAAATTTACGTCGTGATCCGACAAGCGGTTAAGCAAAACGCCCGTAATTCCAAGTGGAAAATCCAGGAAAGTGTTAAGGTGCACAAGACACGGCTGAATGTGATGTGGAGGTCGAAGAAGTCCTGGGTTATGCGGATCTTCTTCAGTGAATGGGTAAATGACATTTTCGGCTCCTCAGTGAGGAATTATCTCGTCGAGAAGCAGTTACCACTCAAGGCCTTGCTTGTGCTCGATAATGCACCTGCGCATCCTCCACAACTGCAAGATGATCTGTTCCCCAAGAATCAGTTCATCACCAAGTTTCTTCCTCCAAACACCACTCCACTCCTCGTACCCATGGACCAGCAAGTCATTGCTAACTTTAAGAAGCTCTACATGAAGGCCTTGTTGGAGAGATGTGTTCATGTGATTGACGCCACAGAGCTGACCCTCAAACAATTCTGGAAGGACCAGTTCAATATCATGGGGGCCTTGCGCTTGATAGATAAGGCCTGGGAAGGAGTGTCATGGAGGACCCTACACTCTGCATGGCGAAACCTGTGGCCTGAGGCTGTCCCTGAGCGAGACTTCGAAGGTTTCGGTCCTGCACCTGTGAATGACCCGGACGCTCTTTTAGTGGCTGATATTGTTGCTCTGGGGCACACTTTGGGTCTGGAGTTGGATGCTGCAGGAGTTGGTGGAGGAGCAAAGTGATGAACTGATCACTTAGGAACTCCTGGAACTGCAGAGAGAGCTGGTGCAACAGGAGGTACAGGAGCTCTCATCGGGGGAGGAGGAGGTCTGCGAGGATGCTATCCCATCCAGTGAGATCAGGGATGTGTTGGGCATGTTGGAAAAGTTGACCACATTCGCGGAAAAGCATCACCCTGATAAGGCAGTGACAACACGTTGTGTGAACTTGTTTAGTGACAATGTGCTGTCTCGGTTTAGGGACATCCTAAAACGTAGACAACACCAAGTGGCACTTGATACAGTCTGTGGACAGGGTGAGAAAAGACGTGCAAGTGATATTAAACCACAACTCCGTCCCAGTGAGGTTAAATTCCCAAAATGGGAAGGAGTGTCATGGAGGACCCTACACTCTGCATGGCGAAACCTGTGGCCTGAGGCTGTCCCTGAGCGAGACTTCGAAGGTTTCGGTCCTGCACCTGTGAATGACCCGGACGCTCTTTTAGTGGCTGATATTGTTGCTCTGGGGCACACTTTGGGTCTGGAGTTGGATGCTGCAGGAGTTGGTGGAGGAGCAAAGTGATGAACTGATCACTTAGGAACTCCTGGAACTGCAGAGAGAGCTGGTGCAACAGGAGGTACAGGAGCTCTCATCGGGGGAGGAGGAGGTCTGCGAGGATGCTATCCCATCCAGTGAGATCAGGGATGTGTTGGGCATGTTGGAAAAGTTGACCACATTCGCGGAAAAGCATCACCCTGATAAGGCAGTGACAACACGTTGTGTGAACTTGTTTAGTGACAATGTGCTGTCTCGGTTTAGGGACATCCTAAAACGTAGACAACACCAAGTGGCACTTGATACAGTCTGTGGACAGGGTGAGAAAAGACGTGCAAGTGATATTAAACCACAACTCCGTCCCAGTGAGGTTAAATTCCCAAAAAGAGTGAGCCCGCCTGACCCAGAGGTGGAGTCTCCCTCCTCGTCGTAACCCCCTCTCCTCCCTTCCTCCCGATCGTCTCCCTCAAGCCAGCAACGACTCTTCATAAGGTAAAGTGAATGTACACATGGGAACAAACAAAACATTTATTTTACATGTACAGTATCATATTACCAGTGTATAATGTCATATTGTTGTTTCAGGGGGTGGAAGGGATTATTTGTATTTACAATATTTTGAACGGGGAAATTTGTTTTGAATGACGTCGGTTTCACATGACGACGACGGCGCCGGAACAGATTAAATTCGTTATTCGAGCTACCACTGTATTTACCAAGATCTTTATCTAAACATATGTTTTGAATCCTTGTTTCAAGTTCTATTTTTTTATTAATACTTTTAGAACCAAGGATGGTAAAAAAATAAAGTTTTTTTTATCTATTTAGTCAACAGAAAAATCAGGGTTGAATGTAATGAAACACCATTTTCTGGGCGAGCCCCGGAGGCTTCCTGAAGCTATCCAAACTAATATGTGCAATATTAGTTTGTGGTCATCAGTCATGAGAGTTCTATGCCTACCGGGAACAATGAGCCAGAACCTAGTCCCCTCAGAGAGGTGCAGGGAGCAATGGCCAATGAGCACTCTACTTTTAGCGTATGTTATACTTGCCATCGACCAGGGAAGGGAATCCATAAAGATAGGCAAAACAAAACCACTAGCTGGTTAAAATTGCAACCTACTTTTGAACAAAGCAAAATAACTCCCCCCCCAAAGAAAACTAACATGCAACACCTCATCCAAATAGTGCACTCACTCGTTAGCACATCCCCTCCCCCCTGAGGGGGGGGGGGAATGAGCCGCCCTACAGTTCTTGAATGATGAAAACCAGATTCAAACCGAATGGGGAGACAACAAAAGCAGTAAGCCTGTTGCCCCACCACAAAACCTAACCAATCCCTGAACCCTAGATGGATAGGGACATGCCAATATGCATCTTGAGGTTCAGGGAAATCATCCAAGTGCCCAGATTGAGAATGAACCAGATCTGGGATAATGTGGTAATTTGAAAGGAGGGGCAAGGAATCATCTGGTTCAGACGAGACAAGTCCAGAATGTACCAGAGATCCGCACAGTCCCGTTTTGGAAC